GCTTCATTAATTGATTTCAATTAGAAAATATAAGGGACTATTTATAATTAATATTATAAGCTAACTAAAACCCTGAATAAACCGCAAAGTAAAGAAAGGAACCTATCAAGCCGTGCAAGATTAGTTATTTAATGAGCTATCATTTAAATGCATATTCATAATTTCTTTAAATGCTCTAGGAAAATGTGGAGAAAGAGGAATTTCCATGGAGCAAAATGTGAATTCTTTTTCCTTTGTTCTCCTAATTTAGTAGACTAATCTTCACACACACACACACACACACACACACACACACACACACACACACACACACACACACACACACACACACACACACACACACACACACACACACACACACACACACACACACACACACACACACACACACTCATACATACATACATATATATAAAGTTTTAATGCCATCTCTAAAAACCCATATATACAGGTCATGGATGCCTCGCCTCCACAATTAATTGGATCATAAAGCTTGAAGAAAAGTATTGACCCAACCCAATTTATCTCCCAATCAACCGAGCAAAGTTCGTCATTTTTCATTATCTTATGCAAGATTAGAGTTCACTAGATATTGTTCAAACAATATCTCACCTCTTCTTCATTTCTAAATAATTTTTGTAAAAGGGAATCTATATAGGTTTAATTAGCAGTTAACAACCCAAGAGTCAATTCATTATTGGTTTAAAAAGAAAATAAGAAACGACTATCCAAATATTTTGTCAGCCACTCTCTAAGAGAATCTGAATGATGTAACCAATAATGGATAAGGTGGTGAACACACTAAAAAAAAGTTAAACCTCTCCATAAAACATATTAATAACAACTCAAGCCTCTCTTTTAGGTCCTTTGAAAGCATATACTGCCTGATCGCTTCACCAAGTGATCGGCTCAATGGATATGATATAGGGTTACTACCCCACATCATTATTAAAAATCAAATCATGTGAAGGTCAACAAAATTGCTTAATTTTTTAATTAATGTTGCTTAGAAAAACATAGCAGTAGACCTTAGGAGTCTACAGTCGATCATTCTCAATTGTGTCAATTGCCTAACTTCAACATCACTCACAACTAGATGGAGAATGAAGTTGCCATAGAAGTTAATTGTCTTGTTACTAAAATCAATATCAAGAAGCTCGTACTCCAAGATGATTCTCAGTTGGTCATCAATTATGTTTTGGGAACTAATGAAGTTCATGATTCCATTAGTAGGCAAGTCTGAGAATTGAGATTGTGAAGTTTGATCATTTTGAGATAGAATATCACCAAGACAAAAATTGGCAACATCAAAGTATAGCAACCTTTATGCCACTTCTACTCATAGGCTCAGCTCACTAACCACAAAGAAGTCATAGATCATGCAAGAAGAGGATGCCCCTCGATGGTTCACTCTTATCAAAAGTTAAATCTACAACGGGTCAATGTCAATTGGTCGTGATTTCACTAGGTCAATTAGACATCGAATGGTCGAGTATTTCTTGTTTGACTGCATGTTCTAACACAAAAGCTTCTTTAAAGTTTCATTTTGTTGCCTCTCACCATTTGTAAAGGAAGTACTAGAAGTACAAGTTGACGAGTGACACAATCATTCGGCAAAGTAAATCATTGTTGAAAAGATCATCAAATAAAGTCCATCATGGTTCAATCTAAAACAAAATGCAAGGTATGCCACAAGATGCCAAGCCCATCCAACATTACCACAAAAGTTAATAACTACAGTTAATCGCTAGCCTATGTATGCTCACCATATAAGGGATAGATTTCGTCAATTCCCTGCCTTTGGGGAGCGTTCAAAGGCACTTCTCATTGGTTCTAATCAATTACAGCAATTAGTGGGTCAAGTGAAAATCATTTACAAAATCAACTATTGCTTTGGTAGTAAAGTTCTTTTAGTCACAAATACTTGCCTACAACAGTCTTTTGTTGACAATCATCAATAACAATGGAATTTAATTTGACAAGAAGCTAGGAACATTTCTGGAGACTATGGGGTAAACCTTAAGTTGTTTTAAGTTAACCGAGCATAAACAAACAGACAAGCAGGGGCAACCAACAAGATTATCATAAAGCTTCACAAGTAAAAGTTTGTCACAAAAATCAGTCATAACCAAGAGATCTATCATTCAACCTCAAAAACTACCAGACAACACTGTCCATCATCATAAGGGGGGCACCTTGCTCGCCCGCATTAGATGTCCAAACCATCACTCCAATGAAAATCAACAACAAATCAGACCAAATCCATGCAACTATCACCCCCTCTCATAAGATGGCTCGAGCATGGTGCAAATAAAACAATAAATACATGCAGGACACATTGGAATATTTAGGAAGAGAGTGATGAGGTGTCCCAATATGTAAGCGTCCAAAAATATTGAGTTATTTTTTCTTTCTTACACATGTTTAAATCACAAAAACATCTAATATAGTTACCTAGTACTATGAAGAGCAGAGAAATCACATTAAAGCAATAGAAGAAAGCAAAAAAGTTGATCAAAATAGATCCAACATTCATCATCAAGGAGGTCAATGTGCTTGAGTCTTCCAAATTATAAGGCCATGATGAATGGCCCTAAGATTGGAACACAAACTACCTCAAATTCTTTTATATGCATATGTGAGTTTCTTATTATCTAAAAGTTCAAATTTTTCTAGCAGGCCCTGCAAGCGCCACCTAGAAAGAGTATGCAATAAGTAACTCCCAAACACCCACAGTTTGACATGCTAGTTCAAAGAAGAATGTGTCCTTATTATTTCTCACTAGGATAAGCCATGTGCTCGACCTCAATAGGCTAATTAGGTCTATCTCATGAGTATTAGAGAGACAAGCCAACCAGAATTTTAGGAAAGATTTCCCCATAAAGATACAAAATTTTAATTCGACCACTTGTGTATTTTTTCTCTCATAGCCTTCTCAAGCACCTACATTGAGAATAGTACGTCTTGTTATTGCTCAATCAACTAATAATACTAAAAAAATTTGTTTCTTGTCTAGGAACTTCTTTCTTCTTTTACCGAGTATCATGTGATGCATTTTGAATGCCTTAACCAACACTCGAGTTGAAGGGATGCCAAATGTGGCTAGCCTTCCCAGCAACAATCCACAATTCTATTGGTGGGCTAAGCAAGACAAGCTTAGGATACAAAAATTTCTAAACTTCCCATATTGGACTAAGTAGATGTGGCTGAGCCTTGATGGCCAAAACCCTCCTTAGGCTGCCTAGATGCTTAGGTTAGTCATTTGTAGTGATGATACATTCTAAATGGCTTTGTTCAAGTGTAGTTACTAACATGAAAACCGATGTGTTGACTCTACTACAAAGCCATCACCCTAACATAATCGCCAACACACAAAGGCTGAGGAATCAGTTTGGTTGGTAAGAACATGCCAAGGTTACCTAAAACCATCACACCGGGAAACCTTAATGTTCCATATGTAGTGAAATAGTTAACGCTAGTTGGTTAAACATATTTAGTAAATCAACTTCGCAAAGGGCCTCAATCGAAATCATAAGGTGATATTCACCCTATCAAAGAAACAAAGAATGAGAAATTGAGATTGGGGTCCAAACATCTTCTCGTTATTTGTTTCCTTGATAGACATCCCTACAATTTAAAAATTGGGGTCCAAACATAAGCCTTTGGTGCATATAAATTGTATAAGATAGATTGATGCATTCAACATCAAATTTAAATCTACATAAGAGCCTAAGATAACATTGAAGATTTATTTTATTAAAAAAATTATGGATAATAGATAGTTTTATGTCATTTTTAAGAAGCAATTTTATCACATTCCCATTAATAGGTATCAACTAGCTAAATCATATGGTCCATTTAATAGAAGATGTACTAAAAAATTTTAAAAGTATAATAAGAAACATTAAATAGATCCAAAAAAAAAATGTTGACCGTTTTCTAGAGGGGACGCACAAATTGCATAATCACTACACAAAACACATGAGAATCTTTCAAATGCCAAAGCTTTGTGCCAAAAGTTTTTGATTTAGGGGATGTTTGGTTTGCCGAAAATGAAATGCGGTGTAAAATGAACAAAATACAGAAGTAATGTATTGTATTTGAAATACTTTGAGGTTGGTTTGTTTAGTGTAAAATAAAAGTACGACTTCATTTTTTTTTTATTTAAAGTGAAAAAAAATGATGTATTTCAAAGTACATTAGGTCTTACATAAATTATTAGCGGTGAAGGGCAAAATCCATCAATGAGCGACAACGAGAGCTCACGGTGGTGGCCTAAGGTGGGTGGCAACTAAAGATGTCGGGCGAGGTGAATGGCAACAGACAGGGGGGGGCGGCTACCAATGGTCGATAGGCAGGCAACAGCGGCGAATGACTGCATTAGCCAATAACACTTTACATAGAGATGTGTATTTGTAATTTTCTTAAATCCAACAAATTCTAAATATACAAAAAACGAACTATTAATACGTTCCCATTTTACACTGTATTTGGAATTCTTTCAACCAAAGCCTGAATTTTCAAAACTCCTGCAAAAGGAATGTAGTGCACTCCCTCTTCAAATCGAACAAACATCCCCTCAATAAAATAGGAGAATTTTGTGATGGAAGATGTAGGGCGCTTCTATAGTTAAAGAGGCCTCTCTGATCCACATAGAAGGATTAAAAGCAGTCCTAGTTCTTTTTTTTTTTTTTTTTTTTTGGGTATTCGAGAAGCGAGTTTACCATTTTCCTCAACAGAAGAAGAATAAATAGCCGAAATGATTCTTCTAGATCATCTAACATAACAAATACTTAATAAATCTAAAAAATCTGAATGTAAAATGATGCCAGGCAGCACATAATTTGCTTTTGGTTCACAGCCAGAGCAAGTAACTAACACTAAAGACACAGTTATTATTGCTCCTATGAATGTCAATCTACAAAAACCCCCCCCCCCCCCCCCCAAAAAAAAGCTAAGGATCTCAAAACATGGTAAAGCCCAGGACAAAGGAATCACACCGTCATCGTCTCTCACATCAGCATCAAGCCTCAGTTCTTCCAACAAGTACTTGCAGACCTCAGTCCTCCCATCCCTTGCTGCAAAGTGAAGAGCCGTTCTATTGTTCGCATCCTTCACATCAGCCACGGTCCTCGCCAGCCCCTTTCCTTCGTCCAGCTGCATTGCCAGTTCTGCAACAACATCAAGAACATCGCATTGCAAGAGAAAAGAGAAGAACTGCAAGTTGTAAAGATTGCAAGGAACAAACACTCACTTTTGAAAAGCTCGAGTTTTCCCTTTTGCGCGGCATCGAGAAACTTCTTCACCTTCTCTCTCACTGAGTCAAAGGCGAAACCAAACGAAGCAAGAAAGTGAACAACGGAGGGAACGAAAACAAAATAGCAACAATCATATCGATAAAAGAAAGAGATGGCCTCGTTCTTTTGGAATTGATCGGATCGACCTGCTAGGGCAGAGGAAGCGTCGGAGGACATTATTCTGTGGAGGGGCCGAGGGGAGCGCCGCGCAGGGTATGAAGAAGACGAAGTAGCCTTGGGAGGGCACTGGAGTTCAGTTCCGATCGGGTCGAGAATCGAAGATTCAGATTCTAATTATTGAAATTTTTTTTTTCTTTTTATTTTCTAAAAGTGTGTTGAGATTTATGCCAAATGAATATTTGTGTGATAGGGTTGACATAGCTATTGTGATGTACAAAAGTAGATGAAAAGGTCCATTAGGAGTAGATGTTTAGATTGGACTTATAGTAAGAAAGTCGGAGGTAAACATAGGAAGACTTGGGCGACAAACTTAGGAAGACTTGGGCTTATTGTATTAATTAGAACTAAATTTTATTAGAACTAAATTAAAATATGACACTAAATAGGAAGCAATGGAGAAAAATGATTCATGTAGCCGACCCCAAGTAGTGGGATTAAGCCTTTGTTGTTGTTGTTAAAATTGTGCAGAGATTGGTGCATGTTAATAAAAAATATTGATTCCACATTGAAATTTTATGTATATAAATACACACGATCTCAACCCAATTTTAACAACAACAACAACAAAATCTTAATCCCACTATGTGGGGGCCGTTACATGAATCATTTTTCCCCATTGAGTCCTATTTAGTGTTATATTTTCATTTAATTCTAATAAATTATACAATAAGCCCAAGTCTTCCTAGGTTTACCTCTGCCTTTCTTAACATAAGTCGAATCTAACAGATCATCAGATGGTCAAAGTTTAATGTGACCAAATCATCTAAGACGATTTTCTCTAATTTTGTTGTCACAGGAGCTACACCAACCCCATCACGGATATATTCATTTCGTATTTTTGTCTCTAAGTGTAAATCTCAACACAATTTTAGCAAAAAAAATTAAATAAATTTCAATAAGTTTATAATAAAACTAAGGGCCTCTTTGGGATCAATATTTATTATTTATTTTTATTTTTATTATAATCTATTTTTAGAAAAACATGTTTGATACTGTTATGATTCATATATTTTTAAAAACAAAAAATATTAAATATATTTAGTTGGACATTTTTTATTCTTTTAAGTAAAAAAACTACACTTTTTATAAAATGAGGTGATCCACGTGGGCTCTAGTGTTAAGTTATGCCACCCATGATGTATACATCGTTTACCTTGCTCCACCTAACACGAAGCATTACTATGGGCGAGCAGATAGCAGGTAGTGGGTGGCGGGCATGCGGTTGGCAGTGACAGTGGCAATGGAGGCGGTGGCGGGCGGTAAACGGCTGAGGGCGGTGGGCGGCTGTGGACGGTGGCGGTGGTGCGTTAACGACGCAACAAAGGCGCGGGGC